GGGGGTTGGACTGGGTGACCCCCAGAGGTCCCTTCCAACCCCGAACAATCTGTGATTCTGTGATTCTGTGATTAAAAAATTATTATACATCATATACTAAGGCATTCATTCTGACCTTTTGATAATGTTGCCACTAATTTCACAAAGTTGTCCCTGTGCTAGTCATAACGGAAAGAAGTGTATTACTCTCTGCTTTCTTTCCTTCTGGCTCTGCCTTTTTCAGGAGAGTAAAATTGAAAGTTCAGTAAAATTGGTACTTCTGATGGAGTGGCCTAATTAGCAGTTAGTGCTGCACAAATTTTAGCATCTGTCTTGTGCCTTTCAAAGCAAAATGCATTTTGTATTTCTATAGCATGCATGTACATGGTGCCAGAGAGAGGAAGGAGATAAGTTTTAGAGAAAACCCTTATACTAATTTTATTCAGTTTTTATTTTATGTAGTGCCAATACTGATATGAAAATTGCTGCAAGACTTTACACATAATATAAATATTTCCTATTAAATCACATACTATAATAATTTCCTATGAAATACAGTACAAAAATAAAAATTAAACCAATCAAAAGGAAAAATGAAAAATAAATTTTGAAAATTCTTCCTTGTTCCAATTCAGAAGTAAAAGAAGTGAAACTGGCAGAATTTCCCACAACATTTTTATTTCTAGCAATGTCTAAATAAATGCTCAGAGATGCAAGAAAATAAAAGCTTTCTTTTTGTAAGTAAGTTTTAAATCAAGTAGCAAGAAAGAAGAGACAAAAACTACCTACTTTATATAAACTTATTCCTTCTCTTCCTCTTTCCACAAGTCTTATCAATATCCAGAGGAAGCTGCAGTTTCCATAGGGACACCTTGGGACCCTCAGTATGTCCGACTAGAAATCCACTACAGCAATTTTGACTTGTTACCAGGTAGGTAATGCTGAGCAATGGAAGCCTCAGACCTCGTCTACAAGCCTATTAGAAATGAGTGTCTGGATGGAAACTCTTCTGTATGTTGCTCAGTACAACCTTCAGGACAGTAAGAAAAAAATGGACCGGGCTTCCATTCAGGAAGAAATTTAACTAACTTTAGAAACACAGATAGTTATATCTGCTTAGATTAGACAAGTCTTACCATTAAAACAGCTGAGCACGTCTTCCTGTTATGATGCTAGAGGGAGTGTTAGGGAGAATGCCAGGGAAATGTGGGCATCATGGGAAAAAGGAGCAGAGCGGGAAGGGACAGAGTGGCTATGGGAGATATAGGTGTACCAAGGGTCAGGATGAAGTCCTGAGAGCCTAATGATACCATCTCAGGCTTCCACCGTGAGCTCCAGCACTCAGTCCCTATGACAGGTGATGAATAATGACACCATGATGTTTGCTATCATTTCACAGAAAGGGAAACAAAAGTGTGGAGTGATTTTATGGGAACCATCTGAGACTGTAAATAGGGCTGGATCCGGCTGTATCACGAGTGAAGTTCTGTGCAACACTGCACCTCATGTGACTTCAAGGCTGTATGTTACAGTGGGCCATACCACTGGGAGTAGGATGAGAGGGCTTAGTCCTTCCTGTTAATCAGTGCCTGCTCCCAACCTGTGGTTGGGAAAGAAACACAACATGTGTTGTTGCTTCAGGCCCTGCTTCTGATGTTTCTGGAGCCATTGCCAAAGGAGTGTTCATTTTTCTTTTACAGGCTTGATCGACAGCTCAGGGATACGACTCTACTATACGCCAGAGCTGCGGAAATATGATGTGGGTGTTCTGCAAACAGGCATCTTCACTTTCCCTGTGCATTTCATTCCTCCTGGTGCAGAATCCTACAGATCTTACGGCCTTTGCAACTCCAGCCAGTTTGATGAAGTGAGTGTGGGGAAAGCCATACAAAGTCTTTCTTGATCTTTCACACTTTGGGCTTTCATCTTGCTCTAGACACGTCCAAAAGCCATTTGGTGCAGGCTGCTATCTTAGCCTCCATGTCTGCACGTTGCAAAATGAGTATCTTCTCCAATAACACTGCTCAGCCAGCAGAGACCCAAGATTTGGCCCAAGAGCATTAGCACAGCTGTGTAAGCATGTCAGAACCATGGCTCGAATACCCATTCACCCCACCTAAGTGAGAGGGAAACAAAACACAAAGATATGGTGACTTCCCAAGAGCCCCAAGGGAGTGTGCTCCACCATATGCAAGAGGCCTTTGTCCTACCATAAGTCTCTGGTACCGGGCTAGGAAGGCGGGTACTGGGCTGGTAAAACTTTCTGCTTTTACTCTTTCTGTTATTTGCTCTTTCTTAGAGTTCATTTATCTGCATGTTTAACTTACTACCTCTCCTCTACCTTGTCTTTGTCTTTTACATATCTGGTAGCAAGATAGGCTTACAGCACCCGGCATGAGATATCACAAACTCAGACTACTATGCCAGAATACCTAAAGCCAGAAGAGCAATTTTCAGAAAGGCTCACCAGAGCAACCTTTCAATCAGTAGCAACCTACTTAAGGAAGTGGGCTTAAACCTCTTTTTTGAAAAAAAAATGTTAAGCTAACAATTAGCCAAGCTCCATCAAGCTTTTGACTTGACGGGCAGGCTTGGAACATAGTGCTGAGCTCTGACTGCCAGGCTCTGACCTACTTAATTTTGAACTGCAGATGAATGGGATGCTGGTTCCAGATCTGCATGTCTTTGCCTACTTGCTTCACACCCACCTATCTGGCAGAGGAGTGAAAGCTGCTCAATACCGGTAAGAGATGTAAATTCACAGTGTTGCTGCCTGTACCACGGGATAAGTCCCTGCCTCTTGGGCAGGATTGGATGAGAACGATGTTCCCAGGTTAGTCTTTGTCTGTCTGCCAGTGCAAGAGACTCTACAGTGTCTGAACTGTAGTACAAAGAGCTACCTCCTAGGCAAAGAAGTATCAGCTCAGCAGAGAGCAAGAGATCAGGACTGTGCGTCCTGTTAAACAAAAGAGGTCAATGCAGTGAGCTCAAGCACTGGACTGCTGCATGTCCACACTAGTCAGCTGCTAGGCAGTGCCCTTGCATAACTTGGTCCTGCTCAGCTCAACCAGACTCACCCCAAGTTTGCATGGGAGCAGTTCTGGGGTTTGCGTGCACCAGTTCCCCTGGGCTGCATGGGCAAAACTACACTGGGTTTGGTTTCTTCCACCACCCTCCCACACTAAAAACTTCAGCACCCTATGTGCTCTCTGATCACACCCCAGCCCATGAAGCGTGAATTCTCAGTTTCAAGCTGTGAAAAATAGCAAATCGTGGTCTGCAGCATGGCACTTGAATGCTACTTCAGTCACTCAGAATTTGAAAACAAAACAAAACCCAGAACTAAAAAAGAATTGTGCTTTAAGCCAAAGAGGCATCACAGAGGTCCAAGTGATTGGTAGTACAGGTATAGCGCCTATGATGTCCTCCTTAGGTTTCTAATTTCAGAATAACCTGACATGAGCCAAGCACCACACTGCAGACAGTTACATGGAGGCAGACACTAGGTCCATGTCAGTGAGCCAGAGAAAAATCCATGATGCTATGATATTTAGCAATATGGATGTAGCACGAGATGTTGAAGCAGCACTCTAATCTTAGAGTGCTCACTGTGACACCTTGAAGATCAAGTTACCTGCCTGTCTACGTGGCATTGCTGATACACCCTCTGGGGTGTGATATGAGTTCCACCTGGAATGGCAAAGGGAAGCTTTGACAGTGCCTTAGATGATTGTGCTCCAACGCCAAATGCCCAGACCCTGCACTGTCTCACATACTCCCTCACATGCTGATTGACTGCAGAAACTCATGCATACTGAGTTGATCATCTACCTACGCAGGGAGCCTGAACTGCACAGTAGGCAACGTGGGGGACAGGAGATTGCCCCCATTACCAATGCAAAGCTGAGTTATGAGCAAGACAGATGTTGTCTCGTTTGGCTTCTGAGCACACAAATGAAATATCATTAGAAAGACTCTAGGTTGCTCCAAAATGGCACATCTTGCCATTTTGAAGATGGGCTTCCTCAGTTGTCCTTAAGCACTTCTGTGCACTCTACAATCAGACATGGTTTAAACACCCTGGCCCTGTGCATCTCTACCCGCTCTTCAGCACGCCAAGGAATGGGGCTAAGTGACTAGCAGCTCCTTCAAAGGCAGCCTTAGGAAAGTGGGACCAACACAATTGTCTGACAGGTATTTTCCCCTCCCTGGCCAGTAGTAGGTGCAAAATACTGACCTAGCAGCCTCTGCAGGCTAACAGTGACATGGCAAAGGCAGCAGAAAACTTATTAAGAACCTTAGGAAACCAACTGTGCCTGCTATGATTAGGCTAAATACGTGGGAATTTTGTAACTTGTAAAGTGCGTTGTGAATATGCCTGCTCCCCAGTTATGCCTATCTGTATCTCTCATGAGTAGCATATTATAACTAGAAAATATGGTTGTCTCTTGGAAGAAGAGAGAAGTAGACATCAATAAAACCCATTGACTTCAAAGCCATCCCTCAGTTTTAATGCTAATGATCTCCAGCCCAGATTGGCCTGACACTTGGATTCCTATGCTAGACAGCAAGGGAAGAGGAGCGAGCCTCCCTCCATCTCACTAGCTAGCACCTTCCAAATGCATGCTCCAAGTAGCAGGGAGTGATATAATCAGGAGAGTTTTCTTTAGGCTTCAGAAGAAAATGGAAGGTTCTGTCTCCTTGCTAGGAATCACCTGAGGTCAGTCTAGGGAGGACTGAGGCAACAGTTCAATTTACTTAGGATGATCATATATCTGAGAAAGGACCTTTACAGGCTTAACCATGCTAGGACCATGTCCTGAAGTCATCTCAAGCACAGGCGCCACAGCAGAAGATCAAATGTTTGAAATACCTTCTGAAGAGAGATGGTTCAGGCACAGTGAGCAGTTGGGATGAATATTTTTTGTCTGGGATTTCCCTTGTAACGCATAGGATAACTATGCTTTTTTTAGTTACTTAGTCCAATTAGTGGAGACCTCAGACTCTCTGGAGGTTGACCTTTGTAGAATATAGCAGACTGTGATGTTCCCTGATAGCAATTAGGAGTAGGCCTGTCTCCTTTTCAGATGTTAATTCCAGAATACCCCAGCATAGGCCAAAAGTCACACACAGGCAGTATGAGTGGCTTAGCCAGAGCTATTTTGTTCCAGACAATAGCAGTAGTTTTTGACCTCTGCTCTTTGTGCAGGTGACATGGTATACATAAGCCATGTGTCATGTAACAGAGCATGTTCTTTCTTGACTTGAACTTTTGTGAAGCTTGGTCTCCCAGCCAGGTTCCTTCCTCCTCAACCCAATTTGCTCTAAGGTCTAACTGGACAATGGTGTGACCCTACCAGCTGCCCTGCTGAGAGCTGCCAGCCGTCACAAAGCAGGCCGACAGCAGGCAAGCAGGGTGTGCAACAGCTGCTGGGATGGCCTGGCCACCAGCGCCGAGAGGATTTGTGGGCTGGGTGCCTTTATGCAGTTTTCTGTGTGCATTGTGGGTGTGCTCAGCAAGATCTAAAGGACCTGTAACATGGATGGAGAAGCAGTGCTCGAGCAGAGCAGAAGCAATTCCACAAAGCACTGTAGAAACAGCAAGGAAGAATACACATTTGATACATCTGCACCTGCAAGAGGGGTCCTGAACAACCTGCCAACTCTACTCTGCTAGGACCAGCGAGACTTTTTGTTTCAGGACAGCGTTTTGTAATGCAAGTATTGGAGTTCTTAATTCTGGGAACCCAGACTGTTATCTGAAAGGCAAAAGTTTCAAGGTACTGTGATTACTGACACGTAAAAAGTCTGTATTTGGACTCCAGGTCAAAGAGGATTGGGTGAGAAATTGTGAGTGCATGTTTCAGACTGACTGCGTCTGAAAATACATACTGTGAGTTAAGGTACGAAAGAGATCAGGCATGATTTCTGGAGGGGATTTTTCCTGGATTTCATCTAGGAATCAATTATTCCACACCTGTCCCTGAAAACATTATAACTTTCTCACCTTCTTTGTCTTCCCCAGGAATGGTGAGCAGCTGGGGATCATCTGCGAGGACAATAAGTACGACTTCAGCCTGCAGGAGGTTCGGGACATGAAGGAAACCCTCACAGTCAGACCGGTAGGTGACTCCCCTGGGATGTAGCTATGGACGGGCAGGCTGGGGAGCTGGCGAGCACCAGAGGTGTCAGAGCACGTCAACATATTCTGTCCCTCATTCCACCCCAGGCCATGGCCCGCTGTTTTCAAGCAGTTTCCCGGTTCCCCGTGTTGTGAGTGGTTGTTTTGTGTGTTTTGCCTGTACCGCTCTGACGGTGTGACCTACTGTGTTTCCTAGGGGGATGAGATCCTGGTTGAATGCAACTTTCAGACACTGGATCGGTCAGGGATTACTTATGTAAGTTGGTTTTTCTACCTACAAATCTTCCATTGCTTTTAAAGTTAGTTTATCACAATTAAAATCTTTTGGGCAGACATATAGTTCTTCCTCAAGCAAATACAGCCCTGGCAAAAACTTCTTGTGTTAGATATAATATCGTAGACATACTGAGGCGTGCCTTGCATAGTTGCTCCATGGCCACAGAGTAGTTGTCCAGCAAGACTGTCCTACTATAGGCTTATGCACAGATCCCAAAGCTATCTTGCACCTAATACCATACAAGATAACTTGTCCAAAACATCAAGTGCAAGTAGTGAAACTTGCAGCTGGGTTGCTTTTCAATCGTTGAACATTTGGATTTAGTGGACAGGCAGAAGTCAAACACAGAAGCTGATGTAATCTGGCAGCTGGATCTGATTTGGACTTCTCAAAATATGAAGACATTCTTTATAGTTCTTCTTATTCAGACCAGGCATCAGTTTCATGATGTAATCTGGCAGCTGGATCTGATTTGAACTTCTCAAAATATGAAGACATCCTTTTTAGTTCTTCTTATTCAGACCATGCATCAGTTTTGCAGAATTTAGCTGGTAAACATTTACTCTCATACTCAAGATTCATAACTTATTTTAGAGCATATGCCATGCAGAGGAGTTAATGACATTATTGCACTTAGAAATGTGCACAAGGAGCTGAGATTCGACCTAAAGAGGATTACAGAGTTTACATTCACAGAGAGCAACACTGTTTGATTTGGTTGGGCCCATTCTGAAAGTAGGGATCAGCTGAAAAATTCTGAGCTAGATGTCACACAGTTAATTCCCTGAATGTTTTAGCTGAACTTTCCAAAGTTTCAGATTTTGGGATCTTGTAGACTGAAATACAGATATGGTAGTCTTCCTGAAGGAGAGAATAAGCAGATATAAGTTATAAAACCAAAGAGCAGCCTATTTATCAGACTCTTGTGAGGATACTTTGATTCTCTGTTTCTAACTCTCAGAAAAAACAATTAGTTCTTTTTCTTTTTTTCTACAAGACAGGATCTGCATGAGCTGTGAACATGAGTGCTTTGCTGAGGAGAAATAGTCTCCTCCTTGTGTCTCAGCAGACCTCTAAGTCATCCTTGTGTCTTTGCAGGGTGGGCCAAGCACCATGAATGAGATGTGTCTCACATTCCTTTTCTACTACCCTCGTAACAACATCTCCAGTTGTATGGGCTACCCTGATATTTTGTACATTGCGCATGCACTCAAGCAGGAGGCCTCAGAGTGAGTCCCGAGTTAACATGTTTCTGGAGGTAGCAGAGCAAAATGTACCTATGAAGAATGGTAAATTGAAAAGATAATGAAAATTAAATGTTGCTGATAGGGAAGAATGGGCCATGTATCTAGATCTGTCAAGCTGAGCTCCCTGTCTTGCAGGAAACTATGAGCTGTGATACTTTAACAAACTCTTCTCCTTTATCTTTTTTTCCCCTCCCTTTCACATTTCCTGCTTCCTAATCTTCTCATTGTTTGTCTTCTCCACCTCCCCATTGCCCCTTACTCTCTCCCCAGTGCAGTGGAAGCAATCATGGCCTTGGACTTTGTTGACTGGGATAACGAGACTGTCAAAATTGCAGAGAAAGTAGCCAAGGAGGCAGACCAAGTAGTCATGATTAAAACCATTAATGTAAGTCCCCCTTCTGAGCAATTTGTGGGTGGGCAAATAGAGTTTGTTCTGAAGTTTCGAGAGTAAAGCACAGGTGAGAGGTAGAGCCAACATACACCCCTTGGCTATCACCAGCTATCCATAGCTTATCCGTGGCTATAGGAACTGAAGAGAATTACCTGAACTATGAAGTCCTGTCTCTTAGGCTGCAGTTGCAAGTAACTGTCCAAGATATGCTTAATCACCACTTGACTTTGAGCTTAAAAAGATAAAAATTCTTCTCCAAAGAGATAAAACACTCTTGCATCTTGGTAATGTAACATTGTCTAGGGGGTGATGCCATGGCAGGGTGTGTTTGACAGAATGAGCAATAAAATAGTGCTGAAGGTCCCTCAGACAATATGTATACAAAAGGAGTTAGGATTAGCCAGAAAATCCACATACATGGGACATAGCTTCCTAGATTTTTCTTATCTGTCTGCATTTCAGGGCATCAGCCTGATACCTACTCATGCTATAGACAAATCAAGGAAAAAAGTCTCTTCAGTTGAGAAAGGATGAAAACTCTGTCTTATTCTCCTCTCTCAGACAGCTTGTCTGCTGTCAGAGGGGAGACACATGTTGTGACTTTCTCTGAGATGGCTCATTATGCATCCAGACAGCACGAAAACTGACAAAATGCATCCAAAACTTTCAGTGTTATGCCATTCTTGTGGCTCTCAACTTAAAAACAGTTCATGTCATTTCATTTTTTCCTCTTTCCTTCTGTCCCCAGGAACTCCAGAGAAATGAGACTGGTCTAATCAGAGACATCAGTATTCCAGAGTGGTCTCCCTGTCACAATATTTCTGGACACCTCTCAATTTCTGGGCACCTCTCACCGTCAGGACTGAGGGCTGCTACAAACCCTTGTTTGACTGCAGTATGCACTTCTGAGTCATCAACCCTCAGAGAAACTGCTTCACCTCCTCTGCTTCCTCTCACTCAGCTCGTGTTTTCTTGGCTTGTCTTGGCCTCTGAGTATGGGAAGTGACAGGCAGAATACCAGAACAGATCTGCTGAAGAAGTCTCTGTAATTACCACCCGGTAGCAGGGTATTCTAGATGTGATGGCCCTGAATATGAGATGATACTTACATACTAGAAAATTGTCTCCCTTTGGAAGAAGTAGTTTCATTTGGCATTGGCATTTATTCTGTTTTCATAAAAAATACTTGCTAGTACGGTTTATTCTAAATCAGAAAAGCAATGTACTATAATGCAGTAAAGTCCGTAACACAGTAATAGCTGCTGCTTAATTACTAAATCCATAGATTTCGTACGTGGGCTACCATATGTATTTGTTGACTGGCATTTCAGTAATCATTATCTAGTCCCAATCTATCTACATACTCCCTGTACTTAGGTCAGTATAGAAAACTAGGCTCCTTAGATATTAAATAACGTGATTGATTCTAAAACTAGTCCTGCCATATCCATCAGTGTCCGCGTGGCAGGGAATTTGCCTGGTGATTGCCAGGCAATGGCAATCACCATTGATGAGGCAACGACTTGGTGTTTACTGAAAAATAGACTTTATACACTGCCATACAGCAAACCTATGATTCCAATTTTACAAAAGCTAAGCAATTTGCTGTTTTCTTTCTTCCCCTTTCTTAGATGGTGAAAATATTTTCAGCAGGGCTTGTTGCAATAGGACAAGGAGCAATGGCTTTAAACTACAGGAGGGTAGATTTAGACTAGATATAAGGAAGAAATTTTTTATGATGAGGGTGGTGAAACACCAGAACTGGTTGCCCAGAGAAGGTAGTGGAGGCCCCATCCCTGGAAACATTCAAAGCTGAGTTGGACGGGGCTCTGAGCAACCTGGTCTAGTTGAAGATGTCCCTGCTCACTGCAGGGCAGTTGGGCTAGATGGCCTCTAAAGGTCCCTTCCAGCCCAAAGCACTCTATGATTCTGTATTTTTCCACAATGTATACATGAGAATTAGAAGAGCAAATCTGATGATAGTTCTGTTCTTTGTCTCCATACTGACTCTTCCAAATTTCAGATTTCATACTGGTACTATTCAGCCAATTCACATTCCCCAAGGTAGATTCTCTGCTTATTTTGACAATAAGTAGTACACCATGTAAAAACATCCTTGGACTTTAAAAGCAACCATCACAAAACAGAGAGATTTGGAGGGTAATTAACCATGCAGAGTGTATTCCTTCCTCATTGGGCTAATGAACATTTATTAGCCAGTAATTATCTTGGCTAAAACTGAAGCATAGACAGAAAAAATTATTTGCCTTGAAGGCAAGCTCATGAAGAGGATCCATGAGATATGAAAGTGAATCTTCCAGACACTCAGAGCCGTGTCCCAAAGAAAACATACATCACTGTCCTGTGCTTAGTAATATCATCTTAATCCTCACTAAATATCATCCCCTTAAAATTCCTATGGGAATATATCACATTTCTTCTCACTCACAATGTAGCCAAGTCACAGCAAGGCCAGTAGTACTGAGTGAGACCTTCATGTACCTTTGTACATAAGTAGGGTAAGAGGCTTTAGAACAGAATCGAATCGAATCGAATAGAATAGAACAGAATAGTTCCAGTTGGAAGGGACATAAAATGATCACCTAGTCCAACTGCCCGAGCATTTCAGGGCTGACCAAAAGTTAAAGCATGTTAAAGGCATTGTCCAAATGCCTCTTCAACACTGACAGGCTTGGGACACTGACCATCTCTCTATCCAGTGTCTGACCACCCTCTCAGTAAAGAAATGCTTCCTGATGTCCAGTTTAAACCTCCCCTGGCACAGCTCTGAACCATTCCCACATATCCTGGCACTGGATACCAGAGCGAAGAGCTCAGCACCTCTGTCTCCATGTCCCCTCGTCGGGAAGCCATAGAGAGCAATGAGATTGCCCTCAGCTTCCTTTTCTGCAAATCAGACAGACCCAGAGTCCTTGGCCACCCCTCACAGGCCATGCTTTCCAGCCCTTCCACCAGCTCTGTTGCCCTCCTCTGGAGGCATTCAAGGACTTTCACAGCCTTCTTAAATCGTGGGGCCCTGGTCTGCTTTTGGCTGGTGTAGAGATAATTTTCCTCATAGTAGCTAGTATGAAGCTATGTTTTGGATTTGTGCTGAAAACAGTGTTGATAACACAGGGATGTTTTAGTTATTGCTGAGCAGTGCTTACACAGAGTCAAGGTCTTTTCTGCTTCTCACCCCACCCCACCAGTGAGTAGGCTGGGGATGCACAAGAAGTTGGGAGGGGACACTGCCAGGACAGCTGACTCCAGCTGACCAAAAAGATATTCCATACCTTACGATGTCATGCTCAGCGTGTAAAGCTGGGGGAAGAAGAAGGAAGGGGGGATATTTGGAGTTACATTGGTTTGTCTTCCCGAGTAAACTTTGCTTTCCTGGAGATGGCTGAGCACCTGCCTGCCAACGGGAAGCAGTGAATGAATTCCTTATTTTGCTTTGCTGGACTGTGCAGCTTTTGCTTTACCGATTAAACTGTCTTCATCTCAACCCACAAGTTTTCTTACTTTTACTTTTCCAGTTGTGTCCCCCATCCCATTGGAAGGGGGAGTGAGCGAGCAGCTGTCTGGTGCTTAGTTGCCAGCTGGGGTTAAACTGTGACAGGTCCAGAACTGCACACAATACTGAAGACAAAGTTGTACTGAGTACAGCGGGATGATCACCTCTATTGAAAGGCTCTGTTTGATGCACATCAGGATGTGGTTTCCCTCTTGGCTGCTCGGGCTCGCTACTGACTCATACTGACCCTGCTGTTGACCAGCAGATCAGGCTGGGTGATGAGGCTTCTCCCAGCAGAGTATGTCTGTCATCAGTGCAAAAACTGAAACTGCCATTTTCAAATGACAAACATTGCTATGAGCTAATACATTCTCTCTAACAATGATTCACAGCACAGTGTCCATATGGCTGCCACCTCCTGCTCTATGAGAGCATCAGTCATGTGGGAATTAAAAGCCTGGGAAGCCTAGGGCTTGTCTTGTTTAAACTAACCTATTCTAGTTGCTGCCTTTTAAGCACCCTGCTGCATATTAAGCACCCTTAGCCCTCCCTGAAACAGCCTGGAGCAATCCCACTTTCTGAAACCCTATTTGCCATCAGAAGTTACCTACAGAAGGGAAGAACGTGTTTCTGAGCTGCGCAAAACCTACATTCCTCAGGACACAGCAAGTCACCTTGGTTCTGGTTTAGAAGAGCTGCAGGCACAACGGAGCTCCGAAGCGTGGCAGGGTCCTGTTTCAGCAGCATTGAGTACATTTCTCTATGGATCAGGGGCAAATACATCATGCTTTCAGATGTCTGCTTTTGAGAGCACTGCCTTCTGGACTCGTCAGGGCTGCTCCTCGTGATGTGCCGTGGGTCCACTCTGAGACCTTCTCTCTGCTTCCTGGGGCTGACTTCCAGCGCTCTGTACTTCTCCTCTGCTTGCTATTTCATGTAATAGAGTTTGTCTTCTCATTGCAAGATTCTATACCGCAGAAAGAGGAAAGCACTTCCTCCTGAAGGTTAGAGAGGGGAGGGAGCTATGAGTCGTCCGCAGTCTGGAGTACCATTTTAAAAACACTAGCGAGGGGAAAAAAAAGGAGAAAGGGGAGCAAGAATGTCAGAAAATCTCATTTACGCTGACTTAAACTTGGCTGAATCAACCAAACCCAGGCTACAGAAGGTCACTGATGTCCAAGGTAGGTCAATCTGTCTGGACTGAGCTTTCGCTGTATTCTTCAGCCCCCCTCCAGCACATTTTGTAACAGTGGCATGGAGCACCAAAGCCTCAAAGAGGACGAATGAGATGTGGGGAGCAGAGTTGTGAAAAATGAGCAGATGGGGTGTCCCCATAATATTTTACCAAAATAAAGGGGACTGTTATAAGGTTTACTTTTAATTTGTTAAGGTGCCAGTGACAGGGCAATTTTCTTGTGTGGTATTAAGAGAAGTTTTTGAAAAATTAGGAGATTATTTCAAAGGTGAACATTATTTGGTCCTGAACCAGACACGTTCTCATGCAGTAGACTGATTCCTGCAGCAAACCGGTCAGGAGATGGAGTGTGTAATGTTTGTGTTGTTCCAAGCAGTCTCGCGTTGCCTGTTTCTCCTGTCTGAGCATAGTAGGCATTACTTCGGGGTTTCTTCCTCCTGGCTTTATCTGTACAAGCTACTTCTTTAATAAATCAGACATAAAATGTTTCATGGAGAGTCTGATTTAGTAGAAATGACTTTGCCAAATTCTAACCTATGTCTTTCTTTCAAGAACTAGAATTATTACATAAAATTTTGCACCAGTTTTGCTACATCTGCATAAAATTACATCCTAAGACAACAGACTTCATACACTTGGTCTCTGTGTTTCGTTTTCTTTTTTCTTCCCTTTCTTTTCAACGTTACTATCTCTTTGACAGATAGAGTAGTTTCTATTTCTTCCTATCCTGCGCTTGTCTTTTGCATAAAGTGTGATCCCTTGGCATGGATTTTCAGCTGGCTGGAGTTTCTAATGCCCCGGGAAACAGTGTCTGTATCACCTCTTTCAGCAGATTACTGCACGGCTACATTGACAGGCACCAACAGCAGATGCCACCTGATTAAAAGTTCTGTTTTCCTTGTAATGTAATCCATGTACTCCTACTTACGGCTTTTATACAGTTTTTATAGCATTTTTATGTTTCTTTGCTTGTGTCTTTCTGGAAAATCCTTATGAACTCTGGTCTTCTACGTGTTCACTTAATTTATGCGTTTTATAGCATTTTTATGTTTCTTTGCTTGAGTCTTTCTGGAAAATCCTTATGAACTCTGCTCTTCTACGTGTTCACTTAATTTATGCTCAGTGTTTCCCAGTCATTGCATATATCTCACAGAAAAGAGCTCAAACACTGGCTTCTGTCTTCTTTTCTTTTTCCTCCAGTTTGCTATTTTCTCTGTGATAGTGGATTCCCTGGATCAAATGCAGTGTTCACTGAGGAATGAAATCAATACCGTAAGCCAGAAGAATGCACTTAAACTCACTGAAAACATTAACTCAATATGGTGATAGAAAAAAAGAGACTCAGTGCTGTACATCAGGATGACTTTGCATGTTTTATTGAGTTGCAATGCCATATTTCTTACCTCCTACCCCCTTTTTATGTGTCCCAGCCCTGACTTCCTTCCATACAGGCTTTCTTCCATGCTCGTTTGTATTTATTCTCTGCAGATGTTAGAATATTTTCACTTTTCTCACTATCTAACCATCACTAACTAATAACCCCTTCAAATCTAGCATAATTTGAAATTTTCAAGAGTTTGCTTCAATGTTATAGACATTCTCACCACTCACATGTGGATGTGAATGGAGTAAGACAATCAGACAACCTCAGACATTTTTCTCCACTTCTGTTCAGATTTCAAATGCGTGCACCACGTGAGCCATATCTCTTCTGCTATATAAGATAAACCGGATTGGTTTCTGCTTTCAACAAGCCCTCTAAGGTGTGAATACAATGGACAAAAATATTATTCAGGCATAGTTAAACACAGTCACATAAATCAGCTGCTGTCATGTGTTAGCATTTCTCATCATTTCAGTCATTTTTTTTCCATGTAAGTTGTTTCTCAACTTTCTCTGTTCTCTGTTATTTTTGCCTGGTTTTAGGTTCCACTTATGCAGAAGTGAAAGTGCAGTCCCTAGACACAAATGCTGCAGCTGGCTACACATCGTCTGGTGAGTTTTTAGCTGTCTGCTAGAATTATATGAATTTAAACAATGAAAGGAGAGTGGCCCATTCCTTATTTTCTAAAAACACAGTGATATAGAACTGCATGGGAGACAGGAAGATTCAGCTGTCTGATTTGTGTAGTCAGAGCAGGCGGCAGTTGATGTGTTGCGTTTTATGTAACTAAACACTTCTTGACTTCACTGGCATAGGAACACAAGGATATTTTGGGCCAGACCAAGGAACCATCTAGCCTAGCCTCCCATCTCCAACAGCGGGCACAAGTGAACACCTAGAGTAAAAAGAGGGTAGGCATATAGGATACCTTTCTGTAATACTTCCACATGCATGAATCTGCTCAGGGACTTCTCAAGACAGATGTGTTTCTATTTACATATCCTCAGTGGATTTCTCTTCTACAAAGTTGCCCAATCTCCCCTTGGTTCCATATCCAGCCCTGATTTCTGTAACATCCTTTGATGAGGGGATCCACAGTTCTTTTTGACATCACGTGAAGAACCAGCTGCATTTTTTCACTCTGTTTAGGAACCTGTTGAGCAGCAGAGGTCCCAGCACAGGCCTTTGGCAAAGTCCTCTGGTGACTTTCTTCTACTGCAAGAACCAATGAATTCTTCCCTGTGCTCCCTAGCTTTTAACCAATACTCATCCATGCCAGGACCTTCCCTCTTTTGTCATGACACATATGCTCTTTCACAAGTCTTTGCTGATGGACATTGTCCAAAGCTATTTGAAACCTAATCAAATCATTCTTATTCACCTAACAGTTGACCAGAAAACTCAAAAATGTTGTAGGAATGATCTCCTTTCAGAAAAGTCCTATTGAATCTTCCAGCTTGCTTATAATTATTCAGTTGTTCACTCATTCCATGCTTTGTTATAGTTCCCACTAGGTTCCCTGGTACAGCCTCAGAAGAAAGGAAAATACTTTTTCCCTGTGAGGGTGGTGAAATGGTGGAACAGGTTGCTCAGAGTGGTTGTAGTATCTCCATCCCTGGAGATATTCAAAACCTGACTGTGCATGGTCCTGGACAACCTGCTCTAGCTGACTTTGCTTGAGCAGGGAAGTTGGACAGGGTGATCTGAAAAGGTTGCTTCCAACCTAAATGATTCTGTGACTGCGTGGTCAGGAGAGCAGGCCTGATGTTCGCAGATGTCCTCTAGAACTTTTTGTACTTTTAATTTACATTGGATCTGTTACTTTTTAGTCCCTGGGCGGAAAGATAGCCTTCAGAGAGGGATTGCAAAATGACATTAGTAATCCAGCTATCTCATACCTAATGTCTCTTGGAATTTATTACTGTACCCATTTTTGTATTTGGGCCACGTCTTCCATTTTATGCAGCTTCTCACAAGGAAGTGCCCTGAAATGGAAGATCTACCCAGTTCTTACTCAGTCAACCCTGATACAAGAGATTACTTTAGCTTTTCTACTCTGGCCTTATCTTCTAAATGCTTCCCAGACAGCCTACAATCTACTGGCCTACAGATCTCCAGAAGTATACCTTCTCTTGATGTGTTTGAAAACAAAATGTGTTTGATATACATGTGCTCAAAATCATGTTTGAAGTCTTTTGCTTCCCAAGTTCTTTTCTGTCTAATTGGAGTTTTTAATGTATGAACTTTAACCTCCCAGGCTTTTTGATGCTTTCTACTTTCTTTATTTGACGTCTACAGCTTTGGAAAGTTAACAATCTGTTTCTAATGGCTGTGTCAATTTCCTTCTACCTGTCCCTAGATCATTCTTAGTAAGTGCCTTTTATTGGCTATGGGTTACCAGGATACCAAGTTTCAATGATATATGGTCTGCCTGTAAGCATTTAATTCTCTCTTAGCACCCCTTTTTAGCTTCTTTTTAAAAAGCCTCCTGTAGTTTCCCTCTTTGACCCATTAGCACTCTGCTTTTCCTTATATAGTCTAGTGCTATGAGGACTGTCTTCCTTTTAACACTTCCCCACGCACATTACACATTGGGATGCTCTCCAGTTACCTAACCACAAGTGTCCAGAGCCATCTGGGAACCATTAGGACATTTGGGCTGTCTTCATATTGTAAATCTGGAGGGCCCCAGACCCTTGGAGGTCCTGTGTAACATCTTCCAGGTCTGATACCTGAGGGTATTTCAGGTGGCAGAAGCCACCCATTTTCAAGTACCTGGCACTTGAGTATTTTAGTTTAGAGTGCCACATTCCAGGTCTTCCCAGCTTTTTTTTTTCAGACTTCTAGTATATGTGTAGAAGCAGGTGTGCCATAGCTGTGGTTTGCTTCTTAACCCTTTATTTAAATGAGTTGGTTTTGCATTTTCTGCTTGACTGTTTCTACACTGTGACCCTCCTTTTCCTGAGGACAGTGTGGTTTTCAAGTCACACACAATGGTAATACCACCCTAAACTGTTCTTTAGCCCATGTCAACTTCCCTTTTATCATTTTAAGCATGACTTGCAACCCTCAGCCTCTGCTAGCTCGCTCTTATTCACTTTAACAGTTACTTAAAACCTTCTAGATGTCATGTCCAGCAGCTTGACTCGCTTATAGTTAAGATGAAATCTGTTCCTCCAGAGTGTTTGGACACTGCATCACAGATGTCCCAAATTCCTGAAGAATCTGTTATCTGGATCCTTACCGCATCTTCTCATCCAGGTGCTAAAATGCTACCTTTCCATTCCTCCTTCCAGTCCTGCATAGGGTACTTGGGAACATTTCTGGAATTGCCACTTTAGGATTCCTGGTCACCAACTTCCTTCCTATAAGCTTCCATTTTGCAACTAAAACTTCTCTCCACCCTTTGCAGTCTTGCTGGTGACCACATGGATCAGTTTATCAGTAGACAGTTTGCACTGCGCCTATCAGATAGATTTGTTGATAAGCGCAACCAACGTGTTTCCAGAGTGCAACCATTTCCTGACCAAACCTCCTCAGCCAGAAAACCTGACAGCACAGAGTTCTTCTTGTGTGCCGCCTTCTTTCAAAGACTGGTTTAAATTCAGTCTAGTTTAATACTGTATGAAGTATGACAGCTCCTTAGCATTTCAGTAATTCAAATAGTAATGCACAAAGTAGGTGTGAAAATGAGGTTACAAGACAGAACAAACCAGATGTTGACTGCAATTAGGATGAAGATTCAGGAAAGCTTCCTCTTTTATCTAAAACTGATTTCTTTACAGAGCAGGGGTAACACCAGCAAAAACCTAAATTTCTTTTTCAGATCCTAGCAGTCACACAGCCACCAGAAACTTCAAAGACAGCAGAAGGGGTAAGTAAATACTCTGCAAGGTATGTGAAGCAGGAAGAGATGGAAAACTCTCCTCTACCTTTTAATTCAGTGTCTGACGAAATCCAGTCAGCCAGTGAATGCATTATTTGTCCCCTCTTGGATCTGCTTGTGCTCTTTAGCACCCAGCCAGAATCCACTAGAGTTGTCAGGCTAATGAATATTGCAAGGATTCCCTTGAAATAAATCCTGAACAAAATTCCATAAATAACAGTCAAAACAGAAAGAGGAGACAATTCAACTCCTCTGAAAAGTATGCTTCATTAGGGAATATAACATGGCAGGACCTTTATCTGGTAGGTTCACTGGGTTTTAGTTTCACAGTATTTTGAGAGGGCAGATAAGGATCCCAGTGAGCACTTAACTCTGGTATCAAGTGCAGCAGAATTTAACAAAGTATTCTAGGTAATGTCAGAAGGGTTCAGGTTGGATGTCTGTCATGGAAAAAAATGTGTCCACAACTTTTCTATCATATGAAGAACAAACATCAGAAGGCACAGCACTCAGGAGCTTTGCCTAACTTGAAAGAGTGATGTCAGTGTGAGCCTGAAAAGGGCATCTTTAAACGAAGACAAACGGTTCCTTTCCCACTTGCTCCTCTAATATTTATTTTTTCTGTCTATCTGTAGGTAAAAGCTGTTGCCCCAGAACAGGTGTCGCTGTACTGGTTGCTGTGATAATCCTCCTACTGGTCTTAGCGGTGTGTCTGATACTCATGTGTAAGTCCTGCTAAAAATGTAATAACTACAACTAATTTGTGACTATCACCCACTGACTGACAGCCAATTCCTGACATCCAAACCCAGCAGCAACAGAAGGATAGTTTAAAGGGGCAGGACAGTAGTTTTTAGCCAAACATGGCCATAAGAGGAAATACGTAGAGGAGTCGAGTGGTATAAAAGTTTAAAATTCCAAAAGAAAAAAAGCCAAAATCCAATTAAAAAACTGACAGTGTTCAAAAAATTAATAATTTATTATACAAATGTTTTGAAGAAATAAGTCAAGCTTAAAAAATATCTCATAGTATTGCGGTTGCTATCCATGAGAATATTTCAAGGTGATGTTCTTGTATCATGTCACCAAGATGTTCATAACACCAAAAATTTTTAAATAGATATGAATAAGAGCTCTTTTGAAAGAGTTAGCTAAGTCACAACTTAAGGGAATTTGTTTGCATCTTACTTGAATAAAAGCCTAGTACTAGGTCTCTCTGCATAGGTATCACTCAGTTCATAATCTTTGAACTACATTAAAAGATTTTTTTTTCAAGAAAGAGAGCATTTTTCTCTCCTTTAGAAAAAAAAAATTAATAGAGCCATGTGCTACTTTCCTTTGAATATTTTCAATGAATAATTTTTAAATTTCAGGTGTGTTTGCTTGTTTATTCTCATCCTTTGATTGTTGAGCAAGCTTTAAAGGTTTCCACAATCAATCACACACAAGTCCCAGAGTTTGCCCCCTACTCAGAGATGTACATGGAGAAACTCTTTGAGAAGGCATGACAAAACCTTTGAGTAAAGGACAGATCTCCGACAGTGCTCTGATGTTTATAAAATGTAAAATACCACAGGAAGTGAAAAAATTTAAAAAAACCCAAAAGAACACAACATAGCAAGGTGAAATTGCCAGCACATAATAGGGCTTTAAATCGGGAGTTACAGAATCACAGAATCGCAGAATAGTAGGGGTTGGAAGGGACCTCTGTGGGTCATCTGGTGG